GTTTAGCAAATAGTTTAGTTAATTTAATTCTTTTAACTGCATTTTATTTAGCGTACACCCAATTACTTTAGATTTGACTTTCATACTTAAGTTTTATATTTTGAATTTTGTGTTTTACATTATTTCCATAAGAATTTCCAACTCTCTGTGGGGTCGATACTTAGGATTTCATTAGAATACTTTATTACTTGAGCGATACATATACTTGCGTTACTATTACGGGTTTGACAGTTTAAAGATTTTAAAAGATAAAATTATTTTTACTAAAGTTTTTCTTATTGGGATTGAATTGCATATTAATTATTAGTGTTGTCATGTGTGTTTTGTAATATTGAAAAATATTTACAAAAGCAACACATGACAAACCACACATCAATGATATATCAATCAATGCTTGGATATTGTGCAGGTTAGCATTTATACATTCAAAAGTTAGGAGGTAACCTAAAAACCTACCAATAGAGACTTAGAATGTGCATTTTAGAGGATTTAGTTTCATATTACATTTACTAAGAGTTTGGAATGTTTCTTTTAGATCTTTTATATATTGTTCGTCGTCCAAATTTCTTTAATACATCATCAATGTAGACTTCAATATTTATTCCTTTTTTATAAGCAAAAATTACCTACATCAAGTGTCAACATGTTGCTCCAACATTTTTAAGCTCAAAAAACATTACATTACTACATAAAACATCCTTCGCATTTATGAAAGCAGTTTTCTCAGCATCGTCGATTGTTTTTATTTGGTGATACCTAGAAAAGGCATCTAGAAAGCTCATTACAGAGTGGACCATAGTTGAATCCATCAGGGCATTGATTCTCGGCATGGGTAGCAATCTTTTGAGCAACCAACATTCATATTCATGAAATTCATGCACAACCATTTCCTTTCTAAACAATGAGATGTTTGAGACCCATGTGTGGTATTGCATCTCCTAGATGTAGATGGATTTCTTTAGCTTCAGTACCTCTTCTCTGATGGGCCTAGCCAATGTTTCGCTGAGTTCCTGATCTTCTGCTTTATCAGCCAGACGATGGTACTTATGTTCAATCAGTGGCAGGTGATGTTGACTGGTATTCCTTACATCTCAGTTGTGGACCTAGTGAAAACGTCGAAATGGTCCCAAAGAGTTTATCCTATCAACCCCTTGGGCCCTGCATCAAAGTTTTCACTTATTAAAAAAGATTTATCGGGCTCATTGTCGGTGATAAGGACGTCCAAGGCTATCTCGCTGGTCTCAAGACCCCATTCCCTTATCATTCGGAGGCGATAGATCTGGGATTGCTCTAAATCTCTTCGGACAATGATCACCTCTCCATCTCTTAGGAACTTTCTGTGGTGTGGTACATGGATACCACAGCTTTAAAGTTTAGCAACGGGCAACTAATGATGGTGTTGTAGATGGGAGACAAGCCTATTATTAGGTACTCCTCTGTAGTGAATAGTTTCTCACCCTACCCCGAGGTAACCACTAGTGGCATAACACCCAAGGCCTTCTTCCTTTCTCTCAAAAAATCATACTGAGGAGGAGGACGTGCCTTCGCAACCAGTTGGTTGACCCTAAGATTGAGCTTATCGAATATTGACTTGAACAACATGTTTACAGAATTTCCAGTATCGATAAGGATACTTCCAACCTAAAAATTGCTTATTAGCTATGTTACAATGATGTCATCATTGTTGTAGTTACCCCTTAGAGGCAAATCATCATCTATGAATGTAAATGAGGGGAGGGGGACTAGGCGAAGGGAGGACCGGGGTTTGGGGTGGGGGGTTTATTCCCTCTCCTATGCATGTAAGCGACATTACACAGCTCTCCCATCTAGGACTTCTTCTAGGAGGCTTGCTTGGATGATTTTGTTCTGCAAAAAGTAGCTGGGACTATGCCAACGGTGTGGAAAACATTTATCCTAGTGGGTCCACCTAGGGCTTCTATTGCCTTGGCATTCACGTGCCTCTAACTTGAGGTCATGTGACTAACTCCTTTAGTTTTGTGGCCCTAATAAGTTCCTATATGATGTTCCGGAGATGCTCATCGTCGTACCCTAACTTGAGGTGGCCCGGGGACCTTGTACTCATCGAATGGTTGTTCATAGTGTTGGGCCAACCTCTCATAATATTGAGTCAGCCACTACTCTCAGCTCCTGTGACTTACCTGATTGTTATGTCTGTCGCCTCTATTGTCACGAGCAGGTTTGTTGTCTTTGTACCTCAGTCAGACATATAGTTTGGGACCCACACTTGGTTTCCTCTCGCCACTCTGCGGGTTTTGATTGGGGGATGCTTTTTTTTATGATGATATGCCTGTTGGACATCTCTAACAACTTAGCTAAATCTTAGGGCTCGTGCAAATTAAGGTCGTAGCAAAACCTCTCGACTTTAGGACCTGCTTCAAGGTAGCTTATGCCATGTCAGTTTGGAGGTCCGTCACATCCAACATTTTCCTCTAGAATCATAGGATGCTGGAAACTAGTCTCTTGTTTGTTCCTTATTTTAGCTGCCACAAGGAATGCACACTCTTCTTGGGCACCTGGTTGCTTAAAAACTATGCCAAGAACATTATATGGAAGTCTAAAATGTTGTTAATGCTTTCAACTGTAAGCGAGTTAAACCACCTTAAGGCTAATGACCTCAGAGTGGTAAAGAACATACAACATTTGGATGCATCTGAGACTTCTAGAAGAAACATTGTGGATTCGAATGAGGCAATGCGGTCATTGGGATCGGGTCCACCACTGTACGTTTACAACGCTAGGAGCTTAAACTTCTTTGGGGGCTCAACTCTCGAGATATAAAAGGAGATGGCATTCTCCAGCTGACGTGGCACCTTAGTGTTGCTGAATTGATGTCTCTCCACCTACGTAGATCCAACATCGACTTAGTACTGAAGCTTTCGGCCCTCACGGGGGCCATGCTTTAGTTTTTTGCTTTTGTGCACCGACAGCGTCTCCTAAGGAGGGTTCTATCCTCGAGGGCCCGATCTCCTCATAAATCTATGGCGACCCTCAGGACTTCTACAATCTCACCCAACACCTTATTCATTATTTGGGTTCTCAGCTCTTGTATTTCCCATTTCAAGTACTCCTCTATGCCTTATCTAGCCTACTTTGCAGTGGCGATGTCTTGGCTTGTCAATCAAAAAGGACGAAAATCAAACAGCCAAGTTAAGAGTTTTCTATAATTAGGAGCTTCCTTATTTCCCATATATTTATTCTGATTTATTTCCCTTTTAGCTGAATATTTAGATTAGGAATATGTATTATTAAGTTACCTAAAACAAATTATATAGAATATTTTGTACCTAAAATAGATTGTAAGATTATTTATTTAATGGAATGGAAGCAAAGGGGAAAGGTAATTGAGCCTATTCAGAATTCAGCTTATTTTTCTCAAAATTTTGACATGGCATCAAGCCAAAATTTTGCCCTAACCACTGATAATCGTTGGAGGACCGTAAACTCCCATCCCGTCGGTCATCCTGCGAGATGGGAAGGGAAGAAATATTTCTTTATCTTGACTCTCGCTTGTCATCTCGTCTGCTCGTCGTCCCATTATTTCTTCGCTTGCATCATTTTCGTTCTACTTCATTGCGAGTCTTAACTGAGCATCTACTTCGTTCGAACTCAAACCACAGTAGCTCTCACCTTTGAGAATGTTGCCTCTGCTCCAGCACCCACCGCCGACTCTCTCACCCATCAACGCTCAGTCTCCCTCACGTTCTACCAAGCGGCAGATCACATCTTCAACTGCTTCTTACGCTTCGCTTCATCCTCTTTGGCTTCAACTTCGACACTCCTTCCTAAATCGATGGCTTCAACTTCGACAAACTATAGATCTTAGCATCAATTTGAGGGAGGATGTCAATCAAGAAGGACAGAAATCAGACATCTAAATTAGAAGTTTTCTATAATTAGGAGCTTCCTTATTTTTAATATCTTTATTCTGATTTATTTCCCTTTTGGCTGAATATTTAGATTAGAAATATGTATTATTAAGTTACCTAGAATAGATTATACAAAATATTTTATACCTAAAGTAGATTGTAAGATTATTATTTAATGGAATGAAAGCAAAGGGAAAAGACAATCAAGCCTATTCAAAATTCAACCTATTTTTCTCAAAACTTTGACACGTTTCTCTGGCGATTCTCCTCTCACTATATCTGTTACGCTCCTCTTCTTATCGACGACATGACTCCATGCTTACCATAACTTTTAAGATATTGATTCCAAATATGTTAGGGAGACACACCTAAGGAATATAACACAAATAAAGGGGGAACGAATAGAGATAGCACAATAATGAACAATGAAATCACGTAATCCTTATTTATAAAATGAGCCCCTATTTATAAGAATGAGATTGGTAATATTATATTTTGTACCCCTGGTAAGATAGGCCCAACAGGGGATATTTTGGTCAATACCAAATTATATGGCCAGAAGCTTGAAATGGCACCTGATCGGGTTTCGATCTGGGTGGCTGTGTTGAGATTTTGAGAGAATGCCTGGTCAGGTTATGACTCGAGTGGCTATGGCTGAAGGAGGGGCAATGTTGGCCGACTGTCGGAGATCCAGGTTGTTCTCATTATCTGCTTTGACTGGTTAAGAAATTTTGGCAGATTCATCAGTATGAGGTTAGTGCCCGTGATCCTTTGACATGACGGTCTAGTATTGCCCATCACTGGGCTATTTTCTCTTGACAAGCAAGAACTAGGTGGGTAAAGCATGCCTCAAATTACCCTTGATGAGTACAGAACCGCCACATCATCTTCTCTAAAAACTCAGCTTTTTTGAGCTTCGTGCTGACACATTTTTCGACAACATTTTTTTTTTAATGGACGAAAATCTCTCGAGTAGTACATATAAATAGGTTGCCATTTGTAACAGGTTTAGGACTTATAAAGCAGGCAAGCTAGAGAAAAAAACACTGAAACAACAATAAATAAAGTAAGATTTAGATAGATATCACACAATTCTTATGTATTTCCATATCTAACACCTAAACTTTAATCTTTACATACATTTCACCTTACATATTCCCAAAGATGTTTTTCACTTTTTAGTGGTTAAAGTAGTGGCATTTTTTATGCGATATAAAAGATTTGAGCGGTATAAATGTAAAAATCAAATTCCTGATAGTTCTAACACTTCCTGATAGAATTATATCTCGTTCTGTTGAACTTTCAAAAAGTTCTCTTCACTCTTCCATGTTTGCCTGCACAGTGACATCCCCCCAATTTATTACAGATTTGTAATCTATTTGAACTGGTACATCATATATTTGTTGGCTGATTTGGCAGGGCTCTAAGGTCCTCTCCATGATAAATTTTGACCCAGAATAATATTTATTATGCAGGAAACTCTGAAAAGGCAGTAATTTCAGTGGAATATTAATGTCTAGAGGCAACAACACCTCCTCTAGCTCATGCCACTCAATATCTTCAAAATCGCCATCTTCATAAACCACTCTGTACCAATTCACTTCAGAATCATACTTCACCACCTCTCCATGGTAATAATGGCCTCCAAATAGTTTTCTAACGTTTCTTCCTTCCAATAACTTGCCAAAAAATGGATCATCAGCTTGTTTTCTTCTTGCATCACGACTCAGTAATGGTTTCTTCTTGCACGACTTGTTCTTTGGCAAGCCATTGATTACAACAGCAGGCTCTCCATAGACCTCGAAAACTACTGGATAATCTCCCTCTCGTTCATTAAAATGTTCTCCATTCTGAGACATCTGGGTCTTTTTGCATATGATTAACAGAATGAAATATCCGTCTGCATGATTAAATTAAAATGATTAAAATTAGGAAGATTTACATACATACCACTCAATTCTTATGCATTTACACACCTAACACCCAAACTTCACTTTATACAGACATACCACCTTAGCTATGCATGAAAAGGTGTATTCCACTTTTTAAAAATAAAAATGGTGGTATGTTTTATGTGATATAAAAATTTTGGGTAGTGTAAATGTAAATATTAAAGATTACGTGTTAGATATGTAAATACACAGGAAGCATGTGTAAATGCCTCTTGAAATTAAAGCGTTAAATATGTGGCAATTGAATACATTGATTCGAATACTATAGTTAACATTTGGCAAAGATCCAAGCTAGCATCATTCACTTCAACTATGAATCATACCCAACAAAGGAACACATAGTTGACCACTATGATAGAAGAAATGCACGATGATTAAAGGTATATAATTACATGCATAGCACTTGAATTTTGGCATTTTACAAAAATAGCACCCAGGTCATTTTTTAACTACAAATTCAGTGCATTTGCATGTGCCAAGATTAAATCATTGAGAATTCGATAAAAAAGAAAAATATGGGTTGGGATTTTATAATGAATTTTGATATTTAAGTGAGAATTTGAGAAAAAGTGAAAGAGGGAGCTAGTTTCGTAAATAGCTAAATTTAAAGTGCTATGTGTGCAATCGCCCATAACTAAAACCATTAAGAGCCTTGAGAATTAATTAGGAAAAAACTTGCATCATATTCAAAGAACTCAGTGTTATCAAAACCATCATCATGACATTATGACGTTAATTTTGCATTAAATAAAGCTAATTTTACATATAATAGAAAATTCACTTCCAGATAGAGAATTTTTGCAACCCTCTCCTGTTTTTATTAAAAATAGTAGCTGTACAATACATGCTTCATCACTTTCTTGCTGTATAAGAACAAGGCAATACAATAAATAAGGCTTCATGATATGTCTAACAAAGTAATAATATATTGATCGCATGTTTCGACCGAGGATAAAGCACATACATATAAGCTATCCACTCTCTTAACCAGCATGAGGACTGAACCTTTTACTGAATAATTGTTTTGTTTTCCTTGTTTAGATTAAAGTATTATCAAATGTCATCGTTAAAATTTTATCTGTACACAACAATATTATTATTTGGAATGAAAGAGGTCTGTTAGTCATTTCCATATTAAAGCTGGCTGATTTTTAAAAAAGTTGAGATCTAGAAACTTGTGGCTTGTGGTTTTGAAAAATGTTTTTATTGTGCATCTCATCCTAAATTATATTAGTGATCCCTATCCTTTTAAGCATCCTGCATCATCAGGGTTTACTAATACAAACTTAAAATGAGATGTGCAAAGAAACACAAAAGAACATATATAATTCTTAAATTCCTATCATTCAGTTTTAACAGAACAAATTGCCAACTTTGATGCAAAATCAAAAAAAAAAACATGCCTATTTCATTCCAAACAATTCATTCCAAACAATAATTCAACAAAATCGCAAATTGAAATTTCACAATTAGGGCTGCAAATGAGCCTAAATGTTTAAGAAGTTAGTAATAGCTCAACTCTACGTAACTAATTGAACAAAATTGAAAAAATTTATAAGTGCTTGATTGTTAAACAAATAAGTTTGAAGAACATGTTATTCAATTCATCCATCATAATGAACAATATAATTTAAAGCGTGTTAAGAAGCACAATTAAATTCAAAATTAACCTGAATTTAGTATAATACTCATTAGAAAACTCAATTGATGCTTTATATATTGCTTTACTAATTTAATAATGGATTAATTAACTTATGGGTAATTGAGCTAAAACCCGATATTAAATTATAACTAAAAATTAATTAATTAATTCATTAATTTAGATAAAATTATAAATTAATTCAAAATTAAATTACTATCTTTATTTAAAAAATTATAAAAATATTAAATATTATTAACTAAATACTTAAACATAGAATGCATACATAAAAATTGTACTATAATTTTAATGTACAACTTACAATAAAAAACAGTTCATTATATAGTGGGAATGTATATAACAAATAAAAAGATTACTATACAAATTCTAAAAGAAGATGCTTCCAAAACTTTTCTATAGAGATAGTTAGGGCCTCAAAATTCAACGTTGTGATTACTCCAAATATTTAGTCTTTCATAATGTGCAGGTAAAAATTCGTAATATTTAAATAAAAATAAAGAAAGAAGTTGGTTAAGACCTTCTTGGCATGGATATTCCAAAAAAATAAAGGTTAATTAAACCTTCAAATTGAATAATTAAATGTGGTTGTGGGCTTATCCTTAAGATGGTTTCAAAGTGAACAACACCGTTCTTTTGTGTGGCAAATTAAGGCTTGGCTAAGTTAAAGCTCAATAAGAGGCTCATTTTGGTATTCACAAAATGAATAAACTCAAGCCAAGCATAAATTAAGCTCAAATAAGTATTATGAATTTAAACAAACTAAACTTGCAAACAATTACAAAAGCTCGAATCGAGCTTAAGCAAAACTCAAATAGATGACACATGGGATGTTTGGTGTTCAGACCAGCATACATCAAACTACGTGATCATTTAATTGTATGATACAACTGGGAAAAATTACATGCGTGCAATTTTGTTAAGATTAGAGGAGATTACATTTAATAAAAACTAATCTTAATATTATGTTGTACGACCAACATTGTGTTGTATGACTATTTTATTTAGGAAAAATATTAACAAGATCAAATTACATTATTTTAAATTATTCAAATTTTGAAGTAACTGTACTATAGACATACATCGTATAGTATAATATGTACGATTATCTCAATCAAATCACCATAATCAATTTCCTTCACAAAAGTTAAATTGATCATCTTGCATGATTGACAATGCGCTTATATGAACTAAATTAAATAGATCGTACTATATGATCCATCAAGTGAACAATTTTTATTCTATTAAATAGCCTTAGAGTTCAAGTGAATAAGCAAGGGAACTTGATATAATGTATACTATGGAACCCTAGATGAGAAGGACTGTTAAAAAAAATAAGCCACCATAAAACACCATTAAGAGAAATTTTATAGTAGAAAAAAATAAGAATATAATAAGATTGTCTTCCTTGTCTTAATACATTTTGATCCTCACATTTATAAATTTGGTCATTGAAAAACTTTTTTGTTTTTATAGAGGGAGATCTTGAATCTAGGAAAAACCAATATTGGATAGTTTGCTTTGACTAGTCCTAGTGGTAAGAGTAGTTGGCTTCTTGCTTTAAAGTACAAGTGGTTGTAGGGTTTCTCCATTAACTTCAAAGGAAAAATACTTCACATAGTGTTAACAAAAGAAGAGAGTAAAGAAATCTTGCAAGAGGACTCACGCAGTGAACATAACCTGAATAATGGCCAAACTACTATATATTAGTTTGCTTATTCTTTACTTATAGTACTTATACTTATCATCTTCATACTTATCATCTTCTTATTTATTGTAATCTACTATGCAAAAAATTAAAAATATTGCAAATTGTTATTATTTGTGTTAAGTGACCGAAGAAAAAAATTTGAAAAGAAAAATACTGAGATTTTTAATTGTTATCTTTAATAAATAAAAATTACTATTAATTTTTTTTATTAATTTAAAAAGAGAGAGATTATTTTCTTTTAAAATTATGTTTTTAAAAACACAACAAGTCATACACCTCTTAGGTGTGCCTTAAAATTTAACTAGTATGAGAATAGTTTTTTTGGCTTAAAGCTCTAACAATCTAAAGAAAATATGCATGGCTCACATTGAAACAAGGGGTGCTATTAAAAGTTATACCATTATCCTACCATTTTTATTTGATAATATCCTCTTTGATTTCTAAAAGGTTAGAATGTCAAAATTTATTTAGTCAATTGATTATCACTTGTGTAATTTGACACTAATAGGCTATTCACAACAAAATAGATAAGTGAATGAAAAATTTATTGATTTACTAAGTAAATATATGAAGAACTTAGATAATCTTGGTTAATATCTTCATGCTAGAACCTTTTTGGTGCATTGAAATTTGACGACTATAAGCATCTCTCCATATGTAAAATTGAAAAAATAAAATCAAATAAAAACAAGTTATTATTAAAACAATGATACTAATAAGTGAAAAGAAAAATTATTTATAAACATCTGTATAATTATAAACTTTGTGCATGAAACCTAGTGAAATAATTTTGGATATGTATATTATGTTTACAAGAATATTGTCACTTCATTACATTCACTTAGAACAAAAATATACAAATGCTGCAAAAAGTTAATAAGATTCTTAGATCTTTGCCTAAATCATGGGATGCTAGTTCATTGGAGTTTCTAAATCTATGGGTTTATAAACTTACTTTATTGACATATTACTTGGTTCTTTGACTGCTTGTGAACAAAAGCTATAGACTAGGGAATTGATTGGATAAAAAGAAGAAAAAAAAAAAGTATACCGCAAAATGCAAGAATATGACAAGAGAAAAACTGATACATCAAGTAGAAATAATGTGACATAATTTATTGAAGATTCATATCCTTCCTCAAAAGTTAAAAATAAGTCTAATGATAGAAGAAGAGGTAAAGATAATAGTAAAATTACAATTAAAATAAAAAAAAATATATCTATTTGCTGTGTAAAAAGACGGATCATATACATTGGAATTGCCTCGATATCAAATACAAAATTTGAAAATAAAAATCCAATGAATGTGGCGTCCTAAAAAGAGCAAAAAAATGAAGAAAAAAAAACCATTTGGATAGATTTTGACAAAAATTCTTCAACTAAGAGCTAGAAGAAAAGATAAACAAGCTATGTGTAATAGCAAAAATTTCAAACTCCAATCAATTATATGTAGTTTCTTATGATGACTTATTTTTTATGGCAGAAGAAATGACGATTAATTTTAAACAACTAAAAGAAATAAAAATATTTGAGGAAGAATCAAAACTTTTTAATGAATATTATAGCATTGCATCAAAACT